AAAAACAAAATGTTGTAAAAAAATAAAAATATATATACTATATTTAATATTTTTCAAAAGTTTAAGAGTAGCTTGTCTACACAAACTCCCCTCTATTAGTCTTAGTTAACAAAATGTGTGTCAAGTAAACCATTTTAAAATAAAATTGATAGTTTGTAAATCATGTTGAAAAAAAAAATATTGTTTCTAAACTAAACTAAAATAAATTACATAATTAATAAACTATTTATCGAATTTAATCAAACAATAATAATAGAGCAGCGTAGAGTTTGTGTTTCATGCCATTTCATTGCGTTGTTGTTGATGTTATTAAATAATTAAAATTAAAGTAAGAGAAAAAAAATTTTTTTTTGTCTATTTTATAATAATAAAATTAATTAAATTAAATTTTGAATTAAGAAAATTATTAAATAGTTCTATGCTGATACAGTTTCAAGAGTATAATAATACTTAAAACACCAAAAATAAAATTAGGAGACATAGAGCTCCAAAAGCATTTTATGTCTTTCTACACAATGACAATAATTTTCAATCTTCTATCCATTTAAATTTGGAGCAAACGAAAGAGAAACAATACAAAAAACACACACACACATATATGTCCTATCAAACTAAATACTAGACATAGAAGCTGTTCAATTCTCCAAAAACTAAATTAAACCCAAACTCAATATATGTTCAAACTTTTGAAACTGAAAATGTACCACTATAAGCAAAGGACTGATCGCTGTATGGATGGAGGGTACTTCCCTTGGATGCCTCCTCATAACTTGACGAACTTGTGGCTGACTCAGCATTGGGATTTATCCCGACAATCTGTATGATGTTTTCAATCTCTTTTACCACTTCACCCATTGTAGGCCTGTCAGCTCCTGATTCTTCCACACAGCTCATTGCTAGGTTCATAAACTTTTCTAAATCTTTCAGGCTTGTATCCACAACAGCTGGGTCAAGAATCTGCTGAAGACTATATAAGTCTTTTGTCTTATCCAATGCCATTCTCACTTCTTTTACAATATGCTTCCCTCGCTCTATTGGTCTTCTTCCAGTTACCAGCTCCAACAGAAGCACCCCAAAACTATAAACATCACTCTTTTCAGTTAGCTGCTGGGTCATATAATATTCAGGATCCAAGTAACCCTACACCAATAACAAATACCACAGGCATGATCAAATTCTTCTATCACAGTAAAAAAATCTTCACTAAACTAATTAAGCATTATCATCCCACTGAAGTGGGTGTATAAAAGCACTCACTATTGTCCCTTTGACTTGAGTGGTAACATGACCTTTTACACTATCACTTATAGGCTTGGAAAGACCAAAATCAGCAACTTTAGCAATGAGGCGTTGATCCAATAATATGTTAGTCGATTTAATGTCCCTATGTATGATGGGAGGATTGGCAAGTTCATGCAAATATGCCAAGCCTCTAGCTGCACCAAGGGCTATTTTGAGTCGCCTGGTCCAATCTAGTCTGATTCCTGACTTTCCTGCAGATGGTATATAACTTTCTAGTGAAGCAAATTAAATGGAGGCTTTACTAAATGTAAGGCTAGCTCGTTATGCAAGAAATGTGAGAGGTGTAACGTAAATCCATTTGTCATAGATAAAATGACTTTCCTGCAGATGGTATATAACTTTCTAGTGTAGCAAATTAAATGGAGGCTTTACTAAATGTAAGGCTAGCTCGTTATGCAAGAAATGTGAGAGGTGTAATGTAAATTCATTTGTCATAGATAAAATTATTGATACATGGTTATTATAGATACTAAGGCAAGACTCAGTTAATAGATGGAAAAAAATACTATGGGTAAAATAACTAGTTAGAATCATTGGATAGTTGCAAAGAAACAAGTCGCAAAAATTAAGTTATATTCACAAAGCCTTTTGCGTTGTTTCTTGCTCTTTCAACAGTAGACTTATCATTTGCTCTTTCAACAATAGTATATATAAATTATAAAAATACTTTCTAGCTACAAAACTCATTAAGTAATTCATGTTGGGTCAAAAATGAGAGAAATGGAAGAACATACCTGATAGAGTTTCATACAAAGAGCCGTTTGGAACATATTCATATATTAGCATTTGTTCACCTTGCTCAAAACAAAATCCTAACAGACGAACAACATTCTTATGATGGACTCTAGATAGAAGTTCAATCTCTGTTTTGAATTCCAGCGCACCTTGCAATGATCCTTGCTGGGCTCGTTTGATCGCAACCAACTCTCCATTGGGAAGAGTTCCCCTATAAACCTATAATTGATTAAAGATTGAAACTTTAATAATCATGTAATATAATGTAATGTAACATATAATAATTGAAGACAAAAAAATATAAATTTGAGAAAAGGAACAACAGTGTTGGAAAGTTGACAGATCTATAATTTGTTTCAATGATAACCTACTAGATTCACAAAAGTTTGAAGTTAACTTGATTATGTTAATCATATTATGTTCATGATTTAATTAGTAGCACAACATTGATCATACTGCATAGTTGCCAAAAATCCGCGTGGAACTTTTCTAATACAAAAGAGAGGCCTTAAGGATACATTGATTATTTTCCAATACAAAAGTTTCAACTAAAATTGCTAATTTCTGTTGAAATACTAGGTAGATAAGCCCCTTAAAATAATTTTTACTAGCAAATAAGTCCTTAATGAAAGTTTGGTGGTGAATCCACCTAACAATTTACAAACAACAAACAAATCTCCCCAAAGTTGATGGAAATTGTTGACTGACCTTAGTCAGCCTATCATACCACATCAGATAAATTATAGATTGATCAATATAAACTAACAATTTCTATCACTTTGGAGAGATTTGTTGCTGTTTGTTAGTTCTGAGGTGGATATGCCTCCAAAGTTTCATCAAAGGCTTATTTGCTCCATATGTATGTATATAAAAATTTTATGTACATATGTGCCTATTTAAGACCAATACATGTGAGTTGTAAAATTATTAGTTTAAATGAAAGGGGTTAGTAACATAATTTAATTTAAGAATAATCATTTTACTTTTAGAGAGAGAGAGGAGGGAGAGGAACCTTTCCATAACCCCCGGATCCAATATCACTGGCCTCTGAAAAGTTATTTGTATATTTCTTAAGCTCTTCAAAAGAGAAACATCTTGCACTTTTTAACTGAGGAATGCTTCCATAGCTTTTGTTAACATCCCAGTGTGCTGCATTTGTACAGCAGAGAATGGGTCAAGAAACCTGAAGTTTGTGTGCAATTAACTAGAATATGCTACAGTAAATAAATCCTAATCATACCAAAAGGGTTGCTCTCTAGGCTTGCTCTTTCTGCCTTCTTCTTTTGATGAAAAGCATATACCCCTACAAGTAGTGAAAGTAGCAGAAGCACAGAGCCACCAACAGCTGCCCCAATAATGATGCCAGTAGTTGATTTTTTGGAGTTAGGGTCTGAAGAAACCACACATAACATGAAAGTGTGGATCAACATCAAATAGAGCTAAATTTAACTGTTCATTACAGTTTGATAATAATTGTGTAAATACCTGGAAAGTGGTAGTAATCCTTGCCACCGAAATAATAAGGTCCAAAAAGAGTATCTGTTGGCTTGAAATGTTGGTTGCTAAATATAAATGCAATCATAGAAACCACTGTTCGATTGAAACTATCTCGGCCATTTGGAAAGATACTAAGGGTTAATGGAAAATATCTAGAAGCATCCATTGTTAGATTACTTAGTGAAACTGAATTAACAGGAAGGTTCTTGGATTGGAATAACTGCATCAGCTCTCCTTGTAGACCCGTATATATGGTTTGGTCCAGCAAGTTTGAGAAGAAAATTCCTCTAAAATAGAGAATTCCTGTATATGGATCTGCACATTTGCATGTGAGGTTAGAAACCTGGTCTGAACTGCATGTCGCAGGTGGGCAGCTGCTGGGACTGGGAGGGGTAGTATACAAGGAAGTGGAATTTGATTGTGGAACTACACAGTAAGTTTTTGTTTCTCCTGTCTCTTCACAAATGGGATTACCAGCAAGTCTGCATAAATTAACTAAATCTATTGAGCCAAGAAAGACATTCATAAGCTTTAACACTGAAAGAGAATATATCTAAAGGCAATTTGACCTCCAAGTAAAAAGAGCCAAGTTCTTAAGCAAAAAATAAATTAATGTAGAAAAAAAAAAGCTAGAAGAAATGATTCTCTCACGTTATCTGAATGTTGTTTCCTTCTGTTTCATTGAACTTAGTAATCGCATTATTCTGCAAATCTATGAGGCTTAGCTGGTTGCTAAATCCCTTGGTTATATCCAAGGTGCCATTTAGCTGGTTGCCTTTTAGAACCCTGTAAAATGTGACAAATATAGAAACAATTAGCCTCTGGCTATCATCTCCACACTTTGGATCAACAGGATATGTTTAACCAGTGTTGTGAACATCCAGGACTAGGAATGGTAGTACATGAAGTGAAGCTGATACTCACACAGTCTGCAAATTTGGAAGACTAAAGAGGCTGACAGGAACTTGACCTTGAAGTTGAGTGTTTTCCATCCTTCTGCCTTGCAAAGAAATCAATTGTTCTCTTAACTTCGAAGGAAACCCATCAATGTGTATGTATACAGGCATATGGGCATGTGTCCATGAACATACAGAAAACAAAGTAAGAAGGCAAGGAAGAGAGGGAAGGAAAGAGGGAAGAGGAGAAAACACATTGAGGGATGGATTTATTGTACCATTTACTAGCCCAATTAAGTTTTACACATCATATTGTTACTAACAATATCATTAGGGATGAAAAGATATTCTCCCTAATAGTTTAACTAAACATATGGCCCTCAACAAAGTGTGATGGTAAAAGGCTAAAAGGGAGTATTTGGGTTCTGCATTTAAAATAGTTCACACAATGTTAAAAGAGAGAGATGGACATACAGTGTTGTTAAGTTTTGCAAAGATGAAAACCATGTAGGAATCTCAAAGGCACTGAAGTTATTATTACTCAAGTCCCTGCAAAACACAATCATATTATTAGAATGAAAATCAATGACAACCGTATAGGGTGTTGAAAGAGGCTTGGTGAATAAAAATGTCAACTGAAGACATAAAATGCATGCATTGCAGACACATAGGAAGTGGAGAAATAGACTAACAAAAAAGGGGCAGCTTAGTTATGTAAACGGCATGGACTGCTTACAAGGTTTTGAGATTGCTCATGCCAATAAGGGAGGGCAAAGAGTCATTCAGGTTATTGTAAGACAAATACCTAAAAAGAAGATCACAAAACATTTTCTATTAGAGAAGATAAACTAATAAATGCAAAGACTGCTCGTCTTCCATCTTTTCCATGCTTACAGATCTTTAAGATTTTTGAGATTGTCGAGGGTTGACGGAACACTCCCACTTAAGGAATTGTTATCAAAACGTCTGCAGCCAAAACAATAACTTCTTCAGTCACCCCAACAAAGAAATCCAATTCCAACAATAATCTCATTTCAAATTTGCTTAAGCATGTGTTCTAGATACTCACATCACTTCTAAAGATTGCACAAGCCCAAGGGTTGAAGGGATAGGACCAGTGAGATTGTTGCTGTCAAACAACCTGGCAGAAAGAGAAGAAATGAAAGCTTTCAAACATACGATACTCCAACCTGTGATTTAATGAAAACTGGAAAGGAAGGAGAAAAGAAGAAAAGGGCAAATTTGCTACTCCACTAAACAAAAGAAGAACATTTGAGGGGAATGGAAGGGAGGCATGAATTTTTTAGGTTAATACCATATGTTGGTCCTTGTATTTTAATGAAAAGTTCTTTTTTAGTCCCTATACTTAAGAAAGTCCCTTTTTAGTTTTTAAAATTTATTATCGGGCCCTTTTTTAGTCCTTTTATTATTTTTTGCACATGTAGCACATTAGATGAGAGAAATTCTAAAGTAAATGATTAGAAAATGACTAAAAAAGCTCCTTTTTGGTCCTCTACTTAAAAAAAAAAACTCCATTTTAGTTCATCTACTTTGAAATTTCCATTATCTACGGTATTACTTGTGCAAAAAAATAATAGAAGGACTAAAAAGAGGTTGGATAATAAACAATAGGGACTAAAAAGAGGCCTTTCTTAAGTAAAGGGATTAAAAAATATATTTTTATTAAAATAGAGGAACTAAAATGTGATTTTTACCAATTCTTTAACCAATCCGATTATGATATTTGAAAACAATATAATTTGAGTGGTTAAAAAACTCATTATTCCCTCCCCCTCCTCTCCCCTAGAAACAAGCTACTAATACTAGCCACTTCTGGTACAGAAGCATTGTTATTCAAAATGCAATATTTATTTGTTGTAGAAAATTCCTAGGTTTAAGCCCTCTGCTTTTTTCTTTTTTTTTTTTGTAACTTATGCAATCAAAATATAATTAAAGAAAACAAAAGTGAAACTCACACATGAACCAGAGTCATGCTGGAGCTGAAAATTTGCTCTGGGATTTCGCCTGAAAGTTTATTCTTTCCCAAATGACTGAGGATAAAGGAGAAAACTTTAGATGATATTATTACAAAGGAAACAGAAAATAATAAAACAAGTTAAAATTAGGAAGACAGGTAACATACAAATGCTTGGTATGGACCAACATGTCAAGGCCAGGCGTAGTTTCATTTGACACAGGAATTGGTCCCTCTATTTGGTTGTCAGTCAAATCTAGCCAAGATAGATTCCGTAGATTACCAATAGATGGTGGAATTTGTCCTCCGAATTTATTGGAATTTAGAGATCTGCAAGCAATGATGGGTTTTAGAGATTTTTTTTTTTTTATCTTAATTGCACAATGGGAGAGAACCTCTCTCATCTCGTATTCCACCACACTCGCATACCATACAACTTGAATTCAGGATCTTTAACTTTTAACGAAAAGAGATTACCACTGAGTTAAGTCAGTTGGCAAGTTTCAAAAATGTTGGCTAGCATGTGATTGCTCCAATTAAAATTGAAAAAATGTGCAAATAAGTATTCAAATTTTGTATTTTTTTTATTTAACAATGTTAACTTTGTTAACTTTTAAATAAAAATATCAACTTTCAACTTTTTCTATTAAGAACATCAGCTTTTACTTTTTATTTAAGGATTAATTGGATAGTAATGCTAACGTGGAAAACATATTTTTTAACTAAAATGTTAAAAGTTAATATCCTTAAATTGGAAAAATTAAAAGTTGATATCTTTAAATAAAAAAAATTAAAAATTAATATCTTTAAATCAAAAAAATTAAAAATTAATATCTTTATTTTAAAACTGATGAAGTTAATATATTTAATTTGAAAAAAAAAAGTACAAAATTGACATTCTTATTTGGATTAAAATTTGCAAAAGTATTGAACTGTGATTACTTAGTCAACCAGTACAAATTTGTACGTCAAGTTTCGTTAAACAATGGAAGATCACCACGCAAGCAGTTTAAAATTGTAAGTTTAGGGTAAAAGTCCTCACAAATAGAACAGCCGTTGTAGATATCCTATTGTGTCAGGAATTGGACCAGTGAAATTACAGCCAACAAGGGCTCTGTCACAGGAGGACAAAAGCAGGTTTGAAGAGAATGGTAAACAAGACATTTTCCATAAAGAGAAGATCCAAAAAAGAAAAAAAAAAATTAAAAAGACTAATTAGACTTATGGACTTACAAGTTTACTAGCTTCTTTAAATTCCCAATTGATTCTGGAAGAGATCCTGTCAGGCCCTCGTTGTAAGATAGATCCCTGCATAAAGAAGCTTAATCAGAGAAATATCAATACTTATTTATTATAACATTCCTCACCAAGTAATGGAAAAGGTAGGGAGGCATATTTAGCTGACAAAACAGCAGACTATCATGTTCCTCGTGTTCTCTATTATAATCACTACTAAACTTTTTGTATATAATGCCTAAAGACAATATGTTTCAGTTAAGCCTTAGATTTAAATGAATCTTCAGAAATCTGAGCAGCACAATCACATAAATGATTATTGTCTTAAATGGAGGAGAATGAACAAGTTAGTTTTGAAATGATTCCCACATGAACTTCAGATAGAGGACCTACAAAGTCTGTAATTCAGTTAAGGATGGGATGCCAATAAACTCTTGCCCCACCAAGCCAATGCTTGCCAATTTTCTGCAACAGATGGAAGACAGGTCAATCCTCAGAAGCTTGAAGAGAAATAATAAGCGTTCATCCAAGAGGTGGAAATTAACCAAGAACTTACATCGAGGTGACTCGTGAATCCGTGCACTCAATTCCTACCCAGTGATGACCACAAGGATCTGAGCCCGACCAATTGGGAGGTAAGTTCTTCCACGCACGCTTGAGAAGAGCTAGAGCAGTAGCTGCACCAGAATCAAACATAAATGTATTTTCACTGGATAAGGCAGTATGAATCTCGGAGTCTGATTTCTCAATGATTTCAAATCAATTTTGTCCTAACTAAAAGGAGTTTATGTAAGTTTTAACCCCTTCACAATTTGAAAGAGATTTAATTGCCAAACAATTTAAGAGCCACAAGCATTGAAGAATTAAGACTCAACTAACTTTTTTTCATATGTATGTACCAGAAAGAATATGGGAATTTAGAAGCAAGCTTTGTAGATCAGCTCCTATTTCTAGTTGCAGCGAGCAACCCACAATAACCACTTTAATAAATTGCAAGGATAATAACGAGCAATCCATAGAAATGAAGATCATGTTTATAATCATCATTTAACTAAGAAGCTTCTGATATTCAGTATTAATTGAGTCGTCGTTTCGTTTCGTTTCCTCCAAATGAAGATGATAAAGTAAAACGTCTGCAGAAGAAATCTCTTATTTCCCAAATCAAGAAAAGTTTTGTTAAACAATAATAATAAGAATCAAACTTACCATCATCACTATTAGTGCCCGCGGCTACGATGTAAAGTCGGACAAAAACAATCAGAAGAAAAAGCCACTGAATTCCTGGTTCCATTTTTTGAACAGAATAAACAGAAAAAGCTTAGAGCAACATGGGATTAATTAATTAGTGTGTAAATGAGATGAAGCAAATTTCTATACCTAATGCCGCTGTTGAAAAATGAGAATTTGAATTGTTCAGCCGTTTACCTAATTTGAATTGAATTGTTCAGCCGTTTACCGCAACTTCGGAGTCATCGTCGGTCCTTTTCTTTCTGTCGCTGTATGTGCTTCATATATTTCAACTATTAACATATCAGAGTAAAAATATGAGGGAGACTTTCAAAACACACACAGAGAAAAAAGAAAAGAAAAAAAAGAAGACGAAGACAAGACATCCCTGTCTGAATTATTATAGGACAACAGGGTGAAATTGAAAATTTTAAATTTAAGAAGCAAAAATAAAAAAAAAACTATAGGGACCAATCGGCTTGGAGACCGATCGGTTCCTATAGCATTACCTCAAGAAACTGCAGCAGCGCGCCTGTTAATTATGTGTGCAAGGATAAGTTAAATTCCAAGACCATGCATGCATAATTGATGTCTGTGGAGAAGAACCCTTATCTTAAAAGATAAGACTGCAAAATGAAATCCAGAACATGAAGAATATAAACCACAAATTAGCGATCAAACCAAAAACAATCAATCAATTAATGATGTAAACATCAAGCGGCTGTTCGACAAAGAAAAGAAACGAAAAAACATACCTACAATATTCTATAACAATTTCCTTGCCCACATTCAACTAACAGTCATATATACCTGCGAATATAAACCAGAAACACAGGACATAGTTAACATACGACCAATTTTTGTGCAAAATCTAGACATGACTCGTTAAGGACTTAACCCAATTTTGACTTAGACTTATGCCTAAATCCTAAGTCTAGAGTTATAAGAAAGAAAGAAAGACTCCATTGAGACATTCCATCAAATAGCTAGCGTGCAAAGGACTCACAAAAGCATTTGTTACAATTAATTACATTTGATGATGAGATGAGATCTGGTTGATGGGATGGGGGAAGCAAACAAGAAGAGCTTTAAATTTGATTTTTAATTTTACAGGTTACCCTTCTCTTATTATTACTATACTCATCGCAGAGCCACAGTCCCAGAGCCTCACTGAGACAATGAACCGAGGAGGAT